ACTTGAATAGATATTTCTCCAAAGAATATATACAAATATCCAATAAGTATGTGAAAAGTTGCTCAACATCACTAATTACTAGGGACATGTAGATCGAAACCATGATGATATACCACTTCATACTCATTAGGATGTCTTTACAAAACAGGAAAATAAACAACAGAAAAAAAAAAACCGGGATAGATATTGTCAAGGATGTAAAGAAACTGGAATCCCTGTTCACTGCTGGTGGGAATGTAAATAGGGCCACTGCTGTGGAAGACCATATGGCAGTTCCTCAAAAAATGAAATATAGCATTGCCATATGACCCAGCGATTCCAATTCTGGGTATATACCTAAAAGAATTGAAAGCAGGGAAGCAAACAGATGTTTGTATATCAATGTTCATAGCAGCATTATTCACAAGAGCCAAAAGGTGGAAGTAATTCAGGTGTCTATTCGTGGATGGACAGATAAGCAAAATGTGGTCTATATCCATAGACTGAAATATTACTCAGGAAAGAAGAAGATTCTGGCACAAGCTACAACATAGACAAACTGTGAGGACATTATGCGAAATGAAATAAACCAGTCATAAAACAACAAATACTGGCAAGGGGTAACTAGAGTGGTGAAATTCAGAGACAGAAAACAGATTGTGGTTGCTTGCCAGAGCTGGGAAGAGAACATTCTTCTTTTTATTAAACTGTCATTTCATCTTTATGTTATTCTGTGCTATACCTGTCAACATATAAAATGCAACATTATTATAATAGTAAAAGATTATTAAAAACATACAAGCAAAAACAATAAAATGTTGGTTGAATAATACTAAGGTACATCTTCATAATGGAAACTATGTAAGTTTCTCAAGATGAAGTACTACAAAAACATCCAAGAAAAGAATATTGGTATTAGAGAACTCCAGGATACTGTGTTATGTTAAAAATGAAGAGAGTGGACAGTGTATATAGTATATTACCCTTTATGTAAGCTACATACACACACACAAATATTTACAAAAACACACAGGATAGGTAAACCAGAGGCTAAATTCTTTTTAATGATGTCAGTTGAGGAGTATGCAGAAGGTATAACATGCTGCTGAATATTCTTTGGCTTATCATTTTAAATTTAAGACCATCCTTTGTTTTAAAATTTTAATTGTCAAATCACATGAATGATTTATATATTCAAATATAAAATTTTAAATAATTCCTAAAATTAAAAGTAACTGAAACAAATCTAACTGCATCAAATCTGTCACTTAACCACACATAAAAAAGCATTAATTCAATTAATTTTAGGACACATAGTTGTACACATTTGTAGACTCGTGCATATGTGCTCAGTTTTGTCCAACTCTTTGCAACCCTATGGACTATAGCCTGCCAGGTTCCTTCTCCCTTGGAATTTTTCAGGAAAGAATACTGGAGTGGGTTGCCATGCCCTTCTTCAGGGGATCTTCCCAACCCAGGGATCAAACCCACATCTCCTACATTGGCAGGCAGGTTCTTTACCACTAGTGCCCCCTGGGAAGCCCTGTACACACTTAGTGGGGTATATTCTAAGCACAAAGAGAACTGCAAGAAAATCTCAGGCTTTATTTGCCAAGTTTACTATTAACAGTAGTGCCAATATTATTAGTTTGAAATCATTTAATGCATATTACAACATAAATAATTATGCTTATGTTGTTAGAAGCCAGGATATTCAGTCGGAATATAAAACCAAGTACGTTAAGTAAATAATCAGAAGTTGAGTTGAAATATCTCTAAAGCTAATGACTTCTTAATTTTTTGTATGGGAATAACTTCAAACAAAGAAAAGTTGCAAGAATAATACAAAGAAATCATTCTACCCCTTCCCTGGATTCATTTATTATTCATATTTTCCCCCATTTGCTTTGTCATTGCCTCTGTTTGTCTGCTGATGCTGTTTAGTTGCCAAGTTGTATCTGACTCTTTGCAACCCCTTGGATGGCAGCCGGCCAGGCTCCACTGTCCATGAGATTTCCCAGGCAAGAATACTGGAGTGGGTTGCAGTTTCCTCCTCCAGGGGATCTTCCCAACCCAGGGATCAAATCCAAGTCTTCCACTTGGCAGATGGATTCTTTACCACTGAGCCACTTAGGAAGTTCTCTGTTTATCTACACACAAGTATTTATTATTCTGAAACAGAAGCATAGAGCATGGTTAAGTGTGTATTTTTTAAAATATTTTCTTTCACATAGTTATCAATTCCAGTAAATTTAACATTGATTCAATACTTCTCTCTAATCTATCCTCCATATTCTAAGTTTGTCACTTAACCCAATATTGTCCTTTATAGAAGTTTTTATCCTCCAGTTTAGGATCCAGTCTAGGATAGAAATTACAGTTAGCTGTTTCATCCCTTTGGTTTTCTTTTGTCTGGAACATTTGCCCAGTCTTTCTTTGTCATATATAATGTTGACATCTTGGGAAAGAAATTTTAAAAATAGAATATTCCTCATTTTGAGTCTGTCTGATATTTTTTTGTGATTAGTTTGAGATTGTGCATTCCTAGCTGGAATACCATGTAAGGGACTTTGTGTCTTTTACAGAGCATCACACTGGTGATGTTAATTATGATCACTTGCTAAGAGTGTGTCTGATTTACCTACTGTATTATCATCATCTCATGACACTTTCAAAAAACATTTATCCTGGTTCTGTCGATAGACAGGGTCTAGGCCATAATATTATAGGAGCAGTAACCATCCTTACTGCCCAAACTGAAGTTTCCAAATGCCATTCCCCACTAAAAGGTACCAGGAATTCTTGGAGAAATAGCTGCTCCCAGGTCTAGAGTAGGGAACTTACACAGTAAGTTACTTACAAGTGGTGTTTTACTGTGCCACACATTTTGGCAAGAAAGTTCTCAAAGTCTAAGCAAGTCATGTCAGAGGCCCTGGAGCCAGCTTGAAAGGGATCTCATTAGCCAAAGATAGGATAATTTAAGCTCAAAAAGAAAAAAAAATACTGTAATCTTGACTGCTCCTCACTGAATATATGAAAATCTATGAATCCATAATAAAACTCCTCAAAGGATAAGGTATGCTGGGTTTTTATGCTCCAGTGTGGTTTTGTGCCTATCTGAACAGTTTAGCATGCTCAGCTTCACCTATTGGAACTCAACTTTGAATATCCAGTTCAGGTGGTACTTCCTCTGAGAAGCCTTCCCTAAAACCTCTATGCAGTTCATTGTTTCTCCATATTTCAACAGAGCTTATTTTACATGCCTCTTTAAATGCACATATCAAACTGTACTGGAATTGCTTGTTTAACTGTACTTTTCTCTCCATAAGGTAAGTTTATAAATACAGGACCTTTCTGACTTTTTAATTTTTTTTGTCATTCCCAGTACCTGACACCTACTAATAGAAAGTTTTATATATTTTTATAATATTATGTGTTGTAAATGAATGAATCAATTTCAATAGTACCCCCTGTTTTTTGTTCTTCATCACACAATACAGATTTGTCTTTATTTTAGAAAATAATTGAATGCAGTTAAAATCTGGCTATTTTGGCCAACATGACAAATTTTTGTTATAACGGATTTTTAAGAAGAATTTCACCTATTTATTAGCTATTACTTTCACATTCAGTAAATTAGAAATATGTCCCCACAATCTTTTCCTGATTCTTATTCTTAGGTTATAGCCTCTTGTGGTATTTTTACTTATCCCACTGTTTTCTCCTCCTAGAGATTTGTCTGCACACAGAATACTACTGATAATGTAGAGTGCATCCTAAGTTGCTTCAGTAATGTCCAACTCTTTGTGACCTCATGGACTATAGCCCGCCAGGCTCCTCTGTCCATGAGGTTCTCCAAGCAAGGATACTGGAGTGGATGCTCTCCTGCAGGAGATCTTCCCGACCCAGGGATGCATTGGCAGATGGGTTCTTTACCGCTAGTGCCATATGGAAAACCCGATAATGTAGTGTGAGAAGTGTTAAAGTCAAATCTAGTTGCTGTGTGAGAGCTTCTTATTTTGGTGGCTTCCCTTGTTGCAGAGCATGGGCTGTTGAGGGCAGGGACTTCAGTAGCTGCCCCCTGGTATGTGGGATCCTAGTTCCCAGACCAGGGGTTGAACCCAAATCCCCTGCATTAGCAAGCAGATTCTTAACCACTGAAACCATCAGGCACTCCCTCATCTTTTTCTAAAATAATAATTGTAGTGGATCTTTGCTCCAACATCTGTACACAGCAGTAGTAACCCATGTAGCATTTTCCAGTAAGTTGCCTGTACTAAACATCCAGTCTCTTCCTTTGTGTGGAATCTTTCATGCACATGTGCATACATCCAGCCTTAAATTTTTGTGGACTTTAAAGCATTTACAGTTTAGTCGACAGAGGTAATATAAACCATCTGTCCAAGGCATATGCAAAGGCGTTAAAATGCTTCGGGAAAGCTCTCTCTCGTACAAAGTCAATTTAGGCCACGGGTAAATGAGTGTGAATAGGCGCGGTCAGCGAAGCCACTTAATATGAGTCTGAGTTTGGGAGGAATCTCTTGGCTCCCTCGCGGAGCTGGACTGAGGCCCTGAGGCCAGAAGTGAAAGGTGAGAGCCGGCGGGCCTCAGCGGGTGAGCAGGGCCGCGAGGTAGGGAGCCGGTCGCTGGCCGCAGTGCTGAACACGCTTGTGAGCTGCTCCCAGGTTGGCCCGCCGGAAGAGGCCCGGCGGGTCAGCGAGTTAGAAGGCAGCCTCCCGTTTCGCTCCTTAGTTTGTGGATTCCTGGCTCCGAGGAGAGGACACAGTGGCCGCGTCCAGAGAGTCACCTGGAGAGCGTAGAGGCAGCCTCCGACCCATCCCCACGGAGCGCAGCTACTGCCCCTCAATAGCAGTAACAGCAACGCTGCTGCCTGTATTTATGTATTGAGCTACAACTCTGTCCCCAACACTCTTGACATCCATTCTCAGTGGTTTTCACAACATCCTCGAATGTGAAGCAAAAAGGTTGATGATTTACCCAAAGGCTGATCTTTCTTATCCATGCCTCAAAAAATGTTTACTGATCACCCTCAACGTACCAGCCTTACAGCCTCGGCTATGCCCCGTTTACCAGCTCCCCCCACCTCCGCCACGCTAGCGCGCCCCTTAGCTTGTCCTCTTCCTCCGAGGTTTGCTGCAGCAAAAGTAATCTCCTCCACAGCACATGCCCTACCACCGCCCGGTTGGGAGACTGCACAAAGCGCTGGAATTCACAACAATTTCTTCACACATCTTGCTCCTTCGTTCTCAGAAATCCACCAGATGGGATATTCAAAACTAGTACCTGAGTCCCCAGCTCGCTGTGTGACCTTGGACAAGTGGCTGCACCTCTCTAAGCCTGCTTCTCCTCGCTAAGACGATGGTAGGTTCTAGGACTGTGTGAGGCTCTTCCCAGGCGCGCATGGTCTCCTCTCCCGTCGGAACACTCCCGACCTCCCTTTCCCAAGCTCAGCTGTGCACTCTCCGTTTCCGGCACCAGGTTTGCAGCCAACTCTAACCCTTGTTGAGGCAGGCCCCGAGAACTGAAGGTGTTCTCCGCGCTGTCCCCGCCCCCATCCTCGGGTGTGATCTGCCTTTGGGGCCACACTGAGCACGCGGCGCCCAAGGCTACTGGGGGAGCGCTCCCGCGCACTCCAGCTTCGCAGCAGTGCCGGGTCTCCGCTTCGCCGCGCTTTGGGAAATGCCAGAAGCAGCTGGAGCCTGAACGCAAAGGGGAAGCAGGGTTGGTGAAGCTACCCCAGTGACAGGTACTTGTGTGGAGGCCGACTGGAGGCTGGGTTGGGAGAGAGGGTCTTTGGGGGAGAGAATGGGGGCAAACGAGAGGTGCCAGAGCTGTGGGTCATTCTGTCCATCTCACCACCAGAGAGAGTGTGTGTGTTTGTGTGTGTGCGTCTTCCTGCCTCCATCTCTCGCCCTCCCCGCTCAGGCTCTCAATCTCACCTTCTAGCTCGGATACTGCCTCTCCTCTCTCTTTCCTTTCCAAGCATCCTCCCTGAGAGCCCGCGCGCACGCTCCTCCCTCGCACTCTTTTGCGCCTAAGACCTTCTCCCGGACCAGCCAGATCCAGCCTCTCAGAGCAGTCACGTCCCTGAACCAGTTAAGCAGAATCGGCAGCATGTGGAATACGACACGGAGCGAGGAGCTGGGGCCCAACCTCACGCTGCCTGACCTGGGCTGGGATGCTCCCCCGGACAACGACTCGCTAAGAGCCGAGCTGCCACCCCTCTTCCCCGCGCCGCTGCTGGCGGGCGTCACAGCCACCTGCGTGGCACTCTTCGTGGTGGGCATCGCGGGCAACCTGCTCACCATGCTGGTGGTGTCGCGTTTCCGCGAGCTGCGTACCACCACCAACCTCTACCTGTCCAGCATGGCCTTCTCCGACCTACTCATCTTCCTCTGCATGCCCCTCGACCTCGTGCGCCTCTGGCATTACCGGCCCTGGAACTTGGGTGACCTGCTCTGCAAACTCTTCCAGTTTGTTAGCGAGAGCTGCACCTATGCCACGGTGCTCACCATCACCGCGCTGAGCGTCGAGCGCTACTTCGCCATCTGCTTCCCGCTGCGGGCCAAGGTGGTGATCACCAAGGGCCGGGTGAAGCTCGTCATCCTGGTCATCTGGGCCGTGGCTTTCTGCAGCGCCGGGCCCATCTTCGTGCTGGTCGGAGTGGAGCATGAGAACGGCACCGACCCTCGGGACACCAACGAGTGCCGCGCCACCGAGTTCGCCGTGCGCTCCGGGCTGCTCACCGTCATGGTGTGGGTGTCCAGCGTCTTCTTCTTCCTGCCCGTCTTCTGCCTCACTGTCCTCTATAGCCTCATCGGCAGGAAGCTGTGGAAGAGGAGACGCGGCGAGGCGGCGGTGGGCGCCTCGCTCAGAGACCGGAACCACAAACAGACCGTGAAGATGCTCGGTGGGTATCCGTGCGCCCTCGAGCTCTCCTCTCCCCGTGCCTTCCCCTTCTCCCCGAGTCTCCCTCTCTCTCCTGTTTCTTGAAGTATCTGTTACCCTGGAAATCTATCAATTATTTTCTCCTGTTTAGGTCTTGAGCCCTTTCTTTGGTCTCTAGTTTCTCTGTCGTGTGTCTCTTCTTTTGTTTTCCGTTTTTCTCTGTCTATATATCTCTGTTTTCCTCTATCCTTTCTCCTTCCCTCCTCTCGCCCCTTCACTCCTTTGGTCTCTTTCTCTCTGTGTGTGCCTCATTCCTGGTCTCTCCTTCTCTCTTTCGTGGAAAAATGTCCCACCTGTGTATTTCTCTAAAATGTAGTGTGTATTAGCCTAGAAACTTCGTGTCAAAACGGAGATCTTTCATTAAAGAATCTATTGTGGTCTTAAAGCATTAAAGTTGATGTAAAACTTCCTGCCTCAATATGTAGATAACTAAGTTGCATTCAGAAAAGCAGGTACTGAGAGTGAAAAACTCAGGCATTGACTCTAGAAAGCATTCATTGGTAAATTTGTGATCACAAAAATGTGATCATTTGGATAATTCTATCAGAGAAGATTCATTTTTCTTTCAACATTGTGATTTGCTTTCTGACTTGTATTTTTTTTTTTTCAGATAATTACCTCAATTCTGTTTATCCTGATGCTGTTTATACAGCTTTGTAAGGAACTCAGTGACAAAAAAGTCCTGGGATCTCTGTTTTCATACTTACCTGTCTCTCCAAGTAGGAAAGGCTAGATAAACTAGGATAGGCAGGCTTCCAACATGAGAAAAGGAGGTGTGGAAGCTGGTAGGACTTACTATCTCTCCCCAAGTGAGCCTTCAGAGAACATCTGGATGCAGTATGGGATAGTTATTCCATAAATTCAGCTTCTGTAGCTATATGTGTTTGGTACAAGTAATACAAAGTGTGTTCACATCCAAGTGAAATTGTAATTCTACTTTTTTCAAAACCAGAATATTTACATTTTATTTGGACATTGTAGTAAACATTTTGTACTTATCTGCATACTTAGTGCTTCTTAGAAGTCATTTCAGGATGATTTTGCATTGTACTTTCACAATTCCTAAAATCCTGTATATTAAAGTGATAGAATTTATTCAAAGAATATCAGTTTTTTTTTTCTTTAGACCGGTGATTCTCAAAATATGACTAATTGATCGAAATCTGCTAGCACTCCTTAAGGGACTCTAATTTCATGTTGCTGCTGGGGCAGTCGGTTACTACCACGCAGCCTAGTTTTGGGAGGAGTACATTGAATAATTTCCTCTAATTTTATTTTTAAACTGTTAATTATCCTCACTGGTGTCTTAACACCAATGCTAATTTTGTTTTGCCTTGACAACTGGAAGGGAATCAATCACTTATGTGATTCCCTAAAGTGGTACAAAGACCAGAATTTTTTTTTCTGTTATTTTTCCTCTGATTTCTGAATTTTAAAAGCTTAACCTAGAAATGCAAAGGTATTGGAAAAAAAAAAAGCTACCTTACATGGGGAAAATTAAAACTTGAGTGGATGATCATCAATGTTAGTTGGTTTTATGGCCTTTTATTCCTTACTTATGTCTATTTTAGGTGGAAAAGTCTCATTCATCTCCATGGTTCTCAATTCTGACTGTATATTCAATCTTTTATGAAACTTTAAAAAGAAAAAAAGAAAACAGGTGTCCTGGTCTCCTTTCTAGAAGTTTTAATTTAGTTAGTTTGTATTGTATCCAAGGAATCTGTATCTCATATAGGTTTGATCTAACATTGTCAACTCAAGCACAAAATTACTAAAGTAGTTGTTAAATAGAAATAATTGGAAAGCTTAGTGACAATGGTTGAACTGTTGGTCCAAACAGAGTCAATCTTGGTTAAAATATAGGAATGGGGAAGAGCAAAACATGGTATTTTTCTGAAGTCAGTTGTCATACCACACGTAATCAAAGCAAGTCCACGTCTTCAGAAGAGACTGTGGTTTGCTAGGACTTATCTTGAACTGACGTTCTCTTTCTCATTGTCCTTTCAGCTGTAGTGGTTTTCGCTTTCATCCTTTGCTGGCTGCCCTTCCATGTAGGACGATATTTATTTTCCAAATCCTTCGAGCCTGGCTCTGTGGAGATCGCTCAGATCAGCCAATACTGCAACCTCGTCTCCTTCGTCCTCTTCTACCTCAGTGCTGCCATCAACCCTATTCTGTACAACATCATGTCCAAGAAGTACCGGGTGGCAGTGTTCAAGCTTCTGGGATTTGAACCCTTCTCCCAGAGGAAGCTCTCCACCCTAAAGGATGAAAGTTCTCGGGCCTGGACAGAATCTAGTATTAATACATGATCAAGCATATTGCTCAGTAAAGTCATCGCTCATTTATCTATACCAGAAGCCATAGCACAGCAGAACTTGGTAGAAAGTTTGAAAGTTAATTTTGAAATTAGGTGCACATAGGTCTGAAGACAATTGGGAGCAAGAAAAGATACACTTTGTAGTGTGTGAACAGTTTGATTTGATTGCACACTCATCAGTGCTTTCATACATGATTTCTGCATATTTCACTGCCTATCATTTTTGCATTCTGCTGTTGGTGCTAGCAAGGGCTCCGCAGTTCAGAGAAGGAAGGTCACTTTTTACTAGACAAATTCTAGCTCTAATTTCTTTTTCATAATGATAATTTTTTATTAAAAGAATAAAAAATTTAAAACATGACTTTCAGAAGCTAGCAAATTTCATAGAGTTCTAGATCAGTGCTATCTAAGAGAAATATGATGCAAAGTACTTAAGAAATCAATATAAAATTGTTAATGAGAATTTTATGTTTTTTATGTTAAAGTCTTTAAAATCTGGTTTGTTTTTTAAATTTTAAGTTCACCTTAATTTGGACATTGGGTGTTCATCAGTAATACTTGATTTATTGCAATTTCATAAATTTTGCAGAATAAAAAGTAGATTCATTAACCTAGGTTGTCTAAACATACTTAAGATTTCTCTAATAACTAAAACAAACAAAAGTTTTTAACTTCAAAATTAACTGAAATTAGAAATTCAGTTCTTCAAGTTGCAGTAGTCACATTTCAAGTGTTTCAGTAGCCAAATGTGTCTAATGGCTACCATATTGGACAATGCAGCTCTAGAGTATATGGAAAATTGTTGTTAATCTCATAAAAATGCTAAAATAAATACTCATTTCCTGAAATGTTTTTATAGTGAAATTAGCATAGGAGAGTGTTAGAGTGATAAATTCTAAGGATTATACCTGAATGCCGTGTAATTTCTGCTTGGGAGAAAATGGATATGAACTATCATATGCATGCATTTTAATCAAGTTGGGTTGCATGTGTTAGTAATAAGGAAATGAGACTTTTTAAAAACTGTAGAAAATCACAAATTACTTTATTTGGCTTAACAAAAATACTTCAGCCAATCATAAGCCTTTGATTTGTGAATAAAGAATAATTTACCACTGACTCTGGAAAGTTTACAGAAACTTAGTAAACATAGTAATTTTTCAAATGGTGAAAAATTCAGTCCCTTCAATGCTACTGTTGATTGATATTTCACACTTAAAAAAGCCCTTATGACCATTTATTTCAAAATGCCTACGCCATGTCCTGTCTCCAGATTAGTCATGCTCTTTACATCCCACTGCTTATCTGATAGATATGTTTACTAAATTTCCAGTATTCCTCTTAATCATAATTATGAATGGTTAGACACTGTCAACTAAATATTATACATATTGGTTATAAATCTAAAACTTTCATTTATATTCCCATTATTCCTCTTATAGTCAACTCTTTTATATTAAATATAATATTCCAAAAATGATTTTTTCATAGTCCTCTGTAATACTGTCATATAAGTGATTCCTTCATGAAGTTATTTATTCAGTATGGAACTGATTGAACTAATAAGGGAAATTATTGTCATGACTGGTTTTCCCCACCAAAAGTATAGATTATTATGCCAAAATAATCAATTAACTATTTTTTAAAAATGAAAATATAATCATAATTAGAATGATTTCTCCAGAGAAATATTCTTCCTGACACTAAAGCTGTATTATCACTATAGTCTAAATGCAGAACTTCAGCAAATTGATTAGTCAGTTAATTCTTTGGAGTATATCATTTTTTAAAAAAATACTGATTCATTTAAGCCCATTGAATACTAATTAGGTCATTCAACATTATTGTTCTAAATAGGTCCCAGGATATCTCAAAAAGGTAATTCATCTTGAAACCCTTTTTTTCTTTCTACAAATATATCCTATTTGAGAGGAAACATGCAAAAAAAGGCTTGACTTGATCACATAGTTGATTGCTTTGAAGAAAAACAACCCAACTTTTAATTATTCGGTGCACCCCACTCTCCACCCCCCACTTTCTTGTAGGTTCATGTCCATAGTGTCAGTACAACTTACAGGGAATAGTTTCCATAGCAGGGACCACCATTGTCCTTCATTAGAACTCAGAGAATAGTTTTAAAGAAAGGAATTGTTAATCGTGCTCTTAATATGATCCCCTTTTTATTTTTGTAACTTCTTTGTTTCATCATGGTCCATAAATTATCCCAGACTCAGGGAAAAGAGGAACTTATATGAGGAAAAATGTTCCTAAAAGTCCGTCAGTTCACATTTAGTTTGTGCCTGGTATGTTCTAAGCACTAGAGATTCATAAGTTAAGTGTCTTTATCCTTGATGAGTTCATGACCACTTGTGTGTTATAGCAGGTACCTAATATATTTAAATTATAAAGTAAACATCTTCAGTGGACACTGCTGTGCACCTCCCTCTATTGTTGTGTATTGAGCTCAAAATAAATTCAGAACAGGCTGCTAGTACACAAACTAGTCAAATTTGTAGATGTAGTTATTGTCTGCCAGTGCATTCTTTTTCAATGTAAAAAAAGTAAATTGGTTTCAGTTATAATCTGTGTTTCTGTTTTTCTGGTTACCTAGAATCAAGGTTTCTATTACCACACCTTACACTGTGTCATAAAATCGAGGGTTGGATTATTTTCATTTTTGGAAGTGACTGTTGTATGAGAAAGAACTTTTGAATAATTGCTTTTAGGAAAATAATCATTGCCACAAATTATTTAAAATTGTAAGTGTTGTGGCAATGAGAATGAGAAACACTTATAATGTCTGGCCAGACCTTGGAAACCATTTCTTTATGATCCAAGTTTTTTATTGCAATGAAGTTTCTTGTGATGGGATTTGACTTGAAATTCCACCTTTTCCACTCCAATGCTTTTACTAAGAACCTGAAATCATTATAATTTATAATTGTTAGTTCAACATTGACAATTTTAGCTGTAATTATTTTGCTGTTTTTCATTTATTGACCTGCTTGAATTTAACATTTTTTAAAAACTGTGAGACTTTTTTGCAAGATTGGTGCCTGAAAAATACTCCCCTGTCTTTTAAAAAAGTGTGTTTTTAAAAGGTGTGTGCCTCTGTAAAATGTGACATGTATACATACATATATCAAGATTTCTTGTCACTGTGTCTAAGTTAATAGAATAGAGCATTCTGCTTTCAGAAACACTGTCTTCAGTGTAAATAATGCCATTAAAAGATAAAGATAGTGTCACTCATGGTTCCTAATCTAATGATTCTCCTATGATTTATTTGCAATTTAAATCACACATTGTCATTTAAAAACTGTAAATTAAATTTCAATTACATTATCCAAGCCTGGATATATATAATTGGAACCTAACTAGATGATTAGTGACCAATGTTAATTCAATGAATTGATAACACATTTTTCATCCAGAGAATGATCTCCATGTCAAAGCCAACAAAAAGCAATGTGCCGGTGGTAAATGCTCACTGCTGTAAGTTCATGTCACTTATTTATTCATATTAAATGAATTCAGTCATGTTAATTCTTGACAATAATCTCTTTGAAGCAGGTGATGGGGAAGATTTGGATGAGGCTTATTTGGGGTTTTTCCTTTTGAATGCAAACTCTGGCAGGGTGTTGGAGTTTAGCCATTTTGGTTGAGAGAATTATCATCACCCTTTGGAAAAAAAGAAAAAGCTGTCGTGTCTATATCCTTCCCAATTGCTTGGATATTTGCTGGAATCTCAATAAGTAATTTATGTTGTGACACATACCCTTAAAGGACTACTGACTACCCTCAAAACTGACAAACCATTAAGGCCTTCCAAAAGCATGTCTATGTCAACTCTCAGAAAATTCTCCCAAAATGTTTATAGATTTTCTTTCCAGAACTATTCTGCCTCCCAGCCCCAGAGAAAGTGTTTGGAAAGAATAGTTTCAAAGATTTTCTGTGATTTAAGCATCTCAAATCTAAAGATTTCTCTGGCTCAGACAACAAAAATATTTATATTTTTCAATTTTAACTCGGTAAATTTAGGATGCTAAAGAGCCCTTGCTCATATAAATATATTCATACAGCATAATCTCCCATTTCGCTTATACCTGCTGTTCTCTATGTCTGTGTAGAATTTACAACTTAGTTGATTTGTATTGTCCCAGTATAATCTAAGTGTGACTAATGATATTTTGTTTTGTGATTCTTTTTATTTAAGGTTTTTGTGGATATTAAAGAGTTTACTTTAGCTCTCCATGTACTTGTATTATGAAATTAGGCGTTGGTTTTCCTTTCTTTGTGTATCCTTAACCAAATAATTGCTTAATAAAAAAAGCCTACAGCTAACTTCTTCTGCTTACAAGGATAAATCTTGGTGTCTGGGTTATTTAACCTCTACTTTTGTCCTACGTTCAGTCTAATTTTGTTCTTTTAATTTCTGAAATACATACTGTGCAACTCTGAGGAGGTGTTTGTTGTAGTGAATTTTATTTCCCCAGGGACTCCAATGAGGTATATCGTTCCTGTAAGTATTAAGACTTGGGGACCCTGTGATACACTGTGATTCTCATGTTCCCCTAGCTTTCTGTCATTTACAACCTGTCACCCCCAGAGACAATGGTGTTGCAGCTTCATGGTGTTATACTAATGTGTGACCCAGAGATTTCCATTCATCTTGCACACAGCATCCACTCACTGAATGTTGGTTGGATAAATGAAAGTTTCAAGACTAGCTTATGTGTCACTTGGACATTTGCTTCCAGATATATGGATTCCAGGTACCGATACAATTTAAGACTAAAAGTAGAAGACAAATAAAGTCTTTTATTTGCCAATTAAAAGACTCTAAAATACCCTACCACCATCACCATTATTTCAATTTTAAAAGAACTTTGAAAAGAAAAAAAGTAGCAAGGACATAATCTCAGAATAAAGGATCACCACAGTGTGAAAATTCAACATATTCAATATCCCACAAAATTCTATACGTATGCT